AGACTGTTCGTAACTGTCGAATTCTCTGCCTCGGCAGAGAGGAATCCAGACGAGTCTTTGCCGAAGGGCAAAGTTTTGTCCAGGGAAATAGACAGGCCCTGAAACCGGTTATGCGGGAATATTTTTTTCCGAGCCTGCGGACTCGGAGAACCCACAGTAAACTCGGCCTTATGCCACATACATCCCTCGTGGGGGTGGGGGCTTAAATATTAACAGTCGAATAGATCTGTTCTAGCTGGGATGGTCAAATACTCTGCCTCCGGGCAAAGAGGATCACCAGATGGGACTGGTCTTGAAAAACAGCTACCCGACACCATTTTATAGGAGGGTCTACCGAGAATTTTTGGCCGAGCCTACGGGCTTGGATTGCCCCACACTAAACTCGGCCTTGTGCCATATACTACCTCATGGGGAGACTAGTAAATATAGCAGTCGAATAGACTAAACGCTGAGTCAACCGTCACACGCTCACTAGTCGTGTCATACTCTTCTCTTGTACTTACTGTTTAATATATGTTATGTCTGTAACACTTGTTTTGTTATTTCTTACACAAAATATTCTGCGAGCCTGTCATATAGCTATAGCGTGTTGTCCATTAGGCTGCGAAAGCTAATCAATAATTATACAAATTTAATTAAGTAATTGCTTTATTTGCCTATTATGATTTTTACTTCCACGGCATCTAATCCCTTTCGTAGTATTGAACTTAATCGTCTTAACCAACTTTCTTAGATGAAGCATTTTTATTATTATAGCGTTTTGTTCCTTTTTTTTCTTTCTCAATTTGTCGTTTTTATCGCAATGCTCAGACCATTTTTACATTACACGACAATTAAATAAGTAGTCTAAATCAGAAACGAAAAATAAATTCATAAACTAATTTTTCGTGTCCCTTATCCTCAAGCGTCTGATAGACTCACACCAGTATGACTAATACTACTAATGTAAACCTATAATTACGTGGGAATAAACGAGATCAATAAAAATTTATATCTGCATGATTAGAACTAAATGACACCTACACTTTAACATTCTATTCTTCAACTATAAACTCTGTCTCTCTTAATGTTTAGGAATATAAGTAATACGCGTTCACATTTCACTGGAATCTTATTTATTTTCAATTATTTATTTTCAATTATTTCTTCGTCTTGTGGACGCAAGACTGTCGATAAAAAAAAGAGAGAATATTGAATATAAAAAAGCATTTTAAAGTAGAAGGCAATTAAATGTAATCTCAAATTGTGATTATTCGTGACAGCCTGGATATATAAAAACGAATCTGGAAAAGTTATGTTAGATATACGAATTGCGGTCACAAAATTAATGTCTGTTTTTCTTTAACCACCATAGAGTAATATATTTTGTGCTTAGAATAAAATAAAACGTAACCCAATTAAAACAAAAGTCCCCGGATTGCTATTTTTCAACATAGTATCCTTCTTCAATCACGTGGTGCTTGTTTCGGTAACAAAAGAATACCTTTTAGTAACTACAAAAGATTTAATATCAGAAACACACAAAGCATACAAAAATAGAATCATTTCCACACCACTGTCATATTTCTTCTCTGTGTGTCTGTTTTTTTTCTCTCTCTCCCTCGCCCTCTCTCTCTCTCTTCTCTCTCTCTCTTTCTCTAAATACTTTCATGGAAATTGTTCGAATGATCTCTTCGCTTTGATAGCAATGCCTTTTCAATTAAGCGCAGTACTGCACTGGTATCAAGATTTCATCAGTTTACACATGAGTGAGATAGATGCAACCATAAATATTATGATAACGGTTTCTTTTCTCCCACTTCTCGATTTCGGCTCCATGATTTCCAATCAACATTAATCGTTAGAAATTTAATCTACTAACCACCTGGTTACTCTTTTCTTTTCCGCTCATTATTGAAGTTTATTTTCACAACTCTTCCACACCCTGTAACCCCTTGTCTCTTAGTGTCTTTAATTCCTTGTATGGGGGGGGGGATATCGTTTTAAAAAAAAAATCAGAAAATTTACAAATTTTCAAATCCTTATATTATACCCTTCCTAGGCAATTTTGATAATCCGCCATTTAATAATAGTCATCTTCTCCAATGTGCTAAGGTGTTCGGTCAAAAAAAATCTCTGCTTTTATCACAAAAATGAACACAAATTAATCAAAGTGCCCATATCAGGTTCTCAACATAGACTTCTGCCATCTCAATTGTGGTAAGCGAACAGTTAAAAATTAATGACTTTTCTTACCTAATTTCACGAGATTTAATCAGTAGAAGGACACTTCTCCTGCGAAAATGAAAACAAACGCCACAAAATCCCGGATCTAGTACATCTTACTCTTCCATGTTAGTTTTCGTCATCGACCTACGCAAATCTGAGATGTTTAGTGTCTGCTTGAATGTTGTCTATGTTTTACACCTTCAGAAGCCCCCCTTGGAAAATACCCACCCTCTTCTCTCCCATGCTGTCTTGTAGCATTTTGGAAATGCATTTTACACAGGCTATTTTATTTAGAGAATGAGAAAAGACAGTGTTGACCTTTTCCCACTTTCTAAATAAAATAGCAATATCTCTTGATTTTAACCCGGATATTATTTTTCCATTTCGTTTGTGATCTGTTTTTAGGTCTTGAAGATTGGGAGCTTCTGTTTTTTAGAGCTGTTATGAAATAAAAATTATTACCTATGGAATTTTAAATGTTTGATATTCTTTAATTAATAATAATTTTGCTCTGTCTTCTGACATAGAACTCTCCTTGGATCTATATCCTCCTGTAAATTCCAATTCCATACGGATTACCATATTGTATCATTACTATATATATATATATATATATATATTGAAAAAATATAGTTTTGTGCTATATTTATTGGAAATAGTGATCAATATCAGAGATAGAGTGTATGAGTGTTGATTTCAATGTTCACTTTTATATATACTAGCAGTAGAGCCCGGCGTTGCCCGGGGATATAACAGTAAGAGATAGATCAAGTATCGACCATCATAAAGACTGAAAAATAAAACTGACAAAGATTATTGTTTAAGGTTGACGGACACGCATGTCTTAATTAGTTTTTTTTTGAATTGGTCAAACCCAAACTCAAACAAAACATTGTTTTCAATTGTTATGAGTCTCCCAATTGAATAGAATTTTATTATAAATAATTGTCTTGTAAATGGAATTTTTAAAGCATTCTGAATGTTAAAAATAAAGAAAAAAGTGTGCAAGAGAATAAGAAACACTACCTGCCAAAAAAAAAAAAGTTTTGTTTTATCGGCTGAAAAATATAGGAAATCCGCTCCCATATTTAAAGGAACCCATACACACAAAAAACCCGATGTGAGTTGCCCCCCTTCCATTTTCCCGATGTCTCTTAATCGTGTTTTCAAATTGATTTTGTGAAAAAACAATTATATTTTTCCCATTTCTTGCGCTGTTAGAACCACCACAAGGTAATTTTATGTAGTCATGTGAAGTTTTGTTGAAATCGGTTGAAAAATGTAGGAAATCCGATCCAATATATAAACGTACAGACACACACACACACACAATCTGCGTTTTATAATAAGTAATATATATATATATATATATATATATATATATTGAAAAAATATAGTTTTGTGCTATATTTATGGGAAATAGTGATCAATATCAGAGATAGAGTGTATGAGTGTTGATTTCAATGTTCACTTATATATATATATATATATATATATATATATATATGTGTGTGTGTGTGTGTGTGTGTGTGTGTGTTAGAGGTGTTTAGACAATCCGAGCCTGTATTCATTAACCTTCTACCAACTGTTGCAATTACGTTGGAAGAATGTGCATCTGTATTTCTATTGGACAATTCAACGACGTGGCTACGGGGAAATATATGGCTACTGGTCCGTCGTTCATATATAGCTACACAGTCCTTCCGCACTGGTTAAACGAAGATCCAATGGATGCTGTTTCTGAAACACCATCCAGAGCTTATCAACTCTATAGTCGCCCAAGACTGACGGATGTCTCATCTAATATATTGAAGAAATTAGATAATATTGATTATAGTCTTTTCTTTGCTAAATCCATAAACGCGCATGTCAAAGAATGCCCACTATATGTTCTGGCACCAAGGAACCATTACTTCATACATCAAGATTATTCAGATTAAACAGTGAAATAGACAACTTACATGTACAAGGCACGCATGCAGAAAGCCATCAATTTCCATTGTCCATTTTTTGACTGTGAATCGTGACTTCCGAGAATACAAGAGTCCATTTTTCAAAACTTTGCTTCCTCTATTTACGTTTTGTTTTTCTAGTTAAATAATATCAGTTTCTTTTTTTCTAAATTTTACTGGAATATCTTCACTCAGTTTTAGAGTTAGAAACATAAAAAAAATTCTATTCCTTGAAGACTCTCGTGTGAAAATATCATTGATAAATCCATTTTCCCTAAATAGCTTTCCATATAACACATGTTCTCAGCCTGTTCAGATTAATCTCATCTATTTCGTACACGGCTGATATAGTTTATTCAATTGTACCTCTTTTGGAATATATCATCGGAATTGCAGTTATATATGTTTAAGAGCACACACACACACACGAATGTACGCGCGGGTACATGTGTGTGTGTTATAAAGACTTATGGTACGGTTATATTTATGTCTTAAGTTGTTCAATATCAGGGATAGAGCGTATGTAAATATAAAAGTGGACATTAAAGTCAACACCCAGTGGCGAGTAGGTTTCATGTTTAATAGCAATCTTCAGGTCATGTATGTTGTTCTTTGGCTCGACTATTTATATATGCGAGCCAATGTCGCAATATAAGTAGAAGGTCAACGGTTATTGGGTGCGCGGTAAAGATTATGTTTCAAATTATTCGATACGCTAGAAATAATTTTGGGTCCGAATGCAGGTATTTACCCGAATGCAGTTATGTTGGTTAGAGTACTTTAATCATTTCTAAGATTCAACAATTTAGAACTTGATCTAGCAATTAGACAATTTTGCTGTTACACGATTTGGACAATTTTACTGTTACACACGGTATAGATAGATATGAAGAGACTGAGATAGATAGATAGATAGATAGATAGATAGATAGATAGATAGATAGATAGATGTATATCAGGTCGTTCACACCTACCTATGGAGTCTGTCTAGTAACTTCTATAATTCTGTATTTGCTTCTAACATCTTAACACATTGACTGCCACAAGTCAATTCCAAAATCTGACTTCAAACGTCAAATAGTTGTGTTATTGGACACTTCAGTTTCTTTTCAAAGACTTCGTTTCTCTCACAAAAAAGTTTGTTTTTATTTGCCGGTTCGATTTTTTTTCTTCCTGTCTTTGACTTCAGGTGCGAGTTATTTGCGTTGGAAACAACGGGAAAACACGTGCTTATAGCTTTGATGGCGCACACAATAAAATCTCGTGATCGGCGTCATAATAAAAACTGTCAACCTCGAGTTGGTAGTCAATGTGTTAAAGACAGATACCTGAAAAAGGTCGGAGATTACAACGGCCGAAACGTTGTGATTACATCAAGGGAGATGAGCAAGGAAAGCGGAAAACCAAAATTATTAGACTCAGGCATAAATTATTTTAACATCTGTCTATATTTCTGAGGTAACATATTGTAACTATTTACATTGTTCGGACTGTTGTCCTCATCTATATTGTCATATTCACGACGTTACGGTCGTTGTACGCTCTGGCCTTCTTCAGGTAATATTTCGTCGCGTACCCTTTATTTAGTCTACTAGGGTAGATAATTCTAGTTCCACATATCATTGCTTTTCTGGATATCACATTAATGGCCTTTAGTAACTGGGTTACTTCACCCACTGCTTTTACCTCCAAGAAAACAAGGTCCCGTGACTTGATCCAAAGTGTTGTGAGTTCAATATCTGGCCATAGCAGAGGTGTACAAAAACTTGGAGAATTAAGCTACAGATTTCGAAAAACTATTCAACTCTGGTTTTCATTAGAGAATGATTTTCCCATCAAAGCATTTTGTGGCGACCAAAAGTGTAATAATCTATTGGTGCAAGAACAGGTGAATATGGCAACTGGAGTCGAACAGACCAACCGTGTTCCCAATATGTTTTTTGTGTTATTCTTGCTGTATGCGTCATTGTTTTGTCATGGAGGAAAACAACTTTGTTCCTATCCAAGGCGCTTTTCGACTAGATATTTATGGACACGTTGCAGCTGCAAATGTTCATTTAATGTTCAAATGTTTTTTAAAAACAACAAGGAAATAGGAAAATAATAATCTCAAAGATTCCGGCCAGAATTAACCCTAAAATCCGGCATTCCAGTTGCCGATTTTAAATGCAGGATAGCTGGCGCAACACAAGCATTTCGCCCTCAACACGTAGCCGTCAGTCTTTAATAGACCTAGGAGACTTATATATATATATATATATATATATATATATATATATATATATATATATATATATCCATCCAGCTCTTATCTCAAATAATAATTTAAAAGAGACTGTTTGACCAACACAAGGACTGACCAAAATTCATATAAAAAATTCAAAAAACAAATTAAAACTACAGACAAAAGTTCATTTTCTCCATCAAGATATTCATTTCTGCAGTTCACTGCTACCACCAAGCAGAAATGTTTCTTCTCCTGATGATGGCCATGTTGGTCGAAACTAGTCGAGGAATCTAAATGAAATAATAATATTAAAAACGAAAGAATATTAATATACAACCCAGTGTATCTGAAGATTTTAATTTCTTAATATTTTTTATTGTTCAATATATATATATATATATATATATATTCCAACGTATCTACCTACATACGACACACGATATGTTTACTCTTAATACTATTAGTATTACTTTTGATAATGTCTCATCACTTCTATCTCAATCAAATCAGACCGAAAACTTTACCTGACCAACCTACTCTTTTATTTGAGAAGAATTAGTGCGATCTACTTTTAAAATAATGAACACATGACATAACAAACCAGATATCTTTGCGGTTGGGCGAATACGGAAATCACAACACATAATTCCGCAAATATTCTCCGACAATATATTATTTAAAATTAGAATCTTCACGGTATTATCTACTTTTTGTAATAACTTGGGTGGAACGGCGACGATATGGATTATGATATTTAGGGACATTTTACAAAGTCGCTTTATGTCATACATTAAATGAAAGGTTCCAGACTGAGTTCCATTGTTTAATATTCGAATAGGGCACAGTGTCACAGGTTTCACGCCCATGTGCCTGACAGTTGGTGAAATTACAAATAGCTAAACTATTATAATTCTTTAATTATAATTTCCTTCTTGTCGATGCAAACACACACACACGCACATACACAAATAATCACACACAAACGCTCATATATATATATATATATATATATATATATATATATATATATATATATATATATATATGCTCCAAAAAATTTATTTCGGTTGAGCCCTGTGGGGAGGAAGTGTGGGCTTGTAAACAGTAACAATTACGGCTAATAATGCAAGACTCTTCAGGTAAATCGAATCGAGTTCTCTCAGTCATTGTGTATTTATCTAAAAATAAATACGCTTAAATTCTCCTTCATCCCTGCTATGCGCCAACGGCTTAGCGATAGAGTCCTGACTGACGCCTATTCAGTCGGGTTTCGATCCTAGCTAGAGGCAACCGGACATCTACCCACACTGATGAGCTGTGATACAGCGGAACAATCTGTATATATATATATATATATATATATATATATATATATATATATATATATATATATGAATTACAATTAATGAAATACATTTACTTCATAAATTGCTGCATGTAAATTTCCAAGTAACGACAAACTCGTGACGTCACACATGACCACGCGATAATGAAAAACGAGAAGTATTAAGCCGTTGGTATAAACCAATGTCTTCTGTTATAAATTATAGGCATTTAAGAATATTTGTGGAGATTTCGTAGTTTATTTTGTTCAGCTTAGGTTTCAACTGTTTTATGTATAAAGCTTCAAGAATTGTTAATTTTTGTTTATTGTTTTCATGTTTAAGTATAGTTGGGTTTGTTATTACTTGAAATTTTCATGCAGCAAGCATTTTATCATTGTTGTTTCGTCCGTTTTTTGTTTGATTTATTGAAATTATCATCTTTGATAATGGCTTGTGAAAGCCGAAAGCTTAGATCGGAGTTAAACATGTATCAATATGGTGTGTTTCTTTCGTCTTTCAACGATAATGTGATTAAGCTGATCAGACAATATGAAAGGAACTTACTTAAAATAAATAAACAAAACTTGTCTATATTATTTAAAAAACATGCATTAAGAAAAAAATTGCCAAAATATACGCAATATATATATATATATATATATATATATATATATATATATATATATATATATATGTTACTTTACTATTCATCCCCACATGCTCATCTTAGTTGTTTGTTTGTTCTTCACTCCAATCCCTCAATCAAGACGATAAAGCCACTAAGGCGTAAGAGCTTAGTGAGTGTTAAAGAAACTGAGAAACATTATTAAGAAAAAAGATCAATAAAGGAACAGGATACAAAAAGACAAGGAATGATGATTGACGTTACATTAAATGATTGAAAAGCAAGAATCCGGAATAGAAGAAAATATTAAAATAGAACTTACGGTTGCATGAAGCATGCTCAACTGTTAAATGTTGGGATATGTCTTATTCATAAGCAAATCTTCATCTTATAGATAATAATTTATAAAGGTGACGTCTAAACTAATCCTAATCTTTAAGACGAAATTATTAAAGAAATAGTAGTAATCAGAATGTTGTAATCTCTAATTAGTTAAAAGTATTCACAACAATTTCTAATCTATATAAATTATTTTAACAATATTAGACAACTGTAGATAGATAACAGCATATGGTCAGTTCGTTTATTATTTTATGTCTCCTCCTTGTGGCCTTCTACCAGAATTACCTATGCATAACAAATACGAATATAATATTAATAAGTTCCACAACACTAAGTAAATCTTTTAAAATCACCTGAGACAGCATTAGCACTTTTCATTCAAAACTATTCCAATGACCTATTCATGTTTGTTCGGCCTCTTGTATGGCGCTGAGATCTGGACCGTAAATAAGTTGGAAAAGATACCGTTAGCTTTTCACATGAGAGGACCCAAGAGGATCCTTGGCATTACTTTATAAGAAAGAGTTTGAACTGATAGACAGCTTTACAAATTTCACCTTTTACAAGAAAACATCACTTATTTCGCTTAAGTTCTTTTCGAAAATTGATACATCCTGACATATTAGTGATTTGGAATCAAGAAAGCTTGGAATAATGAAGCCAATGAAATATCAGGATGACAATGTCAACAATGGTGTCAGTTTAAAAAGGAACGAGACAGAATATGTCTGCTTAAAAACTAACAAAAAAAGATAAAACCTTAATTGAGAAACTTATTTAAATGGCAGAGAAGGCAAAGTTTAGTTTTTGATTCATGTTTGTTTTCATGATATTTTCATGATGTTTTCATGATATTTTCATGATATTTTCATATTTTCGTGATGTTTTCATTATATTTAAATGATATTTTCATGATGTTTTCATGATATTTTCATGATAATATTCATGATATTTTCATGATATTTTCATGATATATTCATATTTTCATGATGTTTTCATTATATTTTCATGATATTTTCATGATATTTTCATGATATTTTTGAAAATCATAAGTTTATATCTTCTTATCGGAAACATCGAACACAAAATCTGGGAAAATGATTATCACAATCTTATACAGTATATTTCTATTTTGAAATATTGGGAAATTCCTAGGTACAGTAATTAATAAAATAATTTTTAATAATATTTTAAGGATTTGAGCTTGGTTTATTATTAAACATTTATTTATACAAAATATAGATTTTTTTTATAATGATTTAGATGAAAAAAAGAGGGCAAAAAGAATAGAATAAGACTTCTTTTACAGCCAGAAGCCAAAGTATTTCGCGTTGTTTTCACTGTTGTCAAATGGATAAACTGTATTACATTTAAGACTTACAAGTCCAAAATGAAGGAAAATAAAGAATGTAATTAAGAAAAAACATATCAGGAAAATGACCATTTAATCGGTATCACCCCATGTAAGGCAGTAAAGCCACTAAGATACAAGGGATTATATGGTGTGGAGGAATTAAGAACAGAATCGTTAATAATGATCAGAAAGCGGAAAGAGTAATCAAGAGGACAGTAGACAGTGATTGACATTGCATTTATATTTTTGCATATTAAAGTTCGCTGGAAAGCATGGAGTCGGAAGGGACTTTCACAAAGGGGAAGTGCGAGAAAAGAAAGTGTCAGCATAGAACTTACGGTTCCTTCTATCCAGCTAAACTGTAAATTGTTGAGATCTTGACCTCAATCTAGTACTGTGCTTAAATTAAATAATGATTTATTCTATAATCTTCACAGTAGGAAGAATATGAATGAATGAATGAACGAATCCAGGAAGGAAGAATGGATAGGAATGAATGGATGAAGGAAGGTTAGGAAGGAAGGAAGGAAGTAGTGAAGGATAGGAAGGAAGGTTAGGAATGAAGGAAGGAATAAAGGAAGGAAGGAGTGAAGGATAGGAAGGAAGGTTAGGAAGGAAGGAAGGAAGGAAGGAAGGAAGGAAGGAAGGAAGGAAGGAAGGAAGGAAAAATGGAAGGAAGGAAGGAAGGAGTGAAGGATAGGAAGGAAGGTTAGGAAGGAAGGAAGGAATAAAGGAAGGAAGGAAGGAAGGAAGGAAGGAAGGAATGAATTAATGAAGGAAGGAAGGAAGGAAGGAAGGAAGGAAGGAAGGAAGGAAGGATGGATGGATGGAAGGAAGATCTATAAAATGAATTAATGGAATCAAATACTCATTCTGATAAATTATTTAACGTCCTGCCCACAACAGGTAGTATACTCCTTGGCCTCATAATTCCGCCGCGTAATGTCACTACATTTCTATCTTTTGTGGTGTAATACGAAGTAATGTCGAAAAGAAAGGCGAAATGATTGATATCCAAAAATGAAAATGAGATTAACATTTATAAAGTCAGGTTGGGCGTCAGTAACAAAGAAAGGGAAAAATAAAAACTGAAAATGAATGAAAGAACAAACAGAAGTTTTCATTATAAAATGAAAGTGTAAACTGATGAAGAAATAAAGAAAGAAGAAATCATAATGAACTTCTTTTAGTAAAAAGAAGAAAAATCGTAGCTATAAAGAAACAAGACAAAAGAAAGTAAAATATATCAGAATAGCAACCAGTATGAAAAAGGAATGATTGATATTTATAAAGACTATAGGAAAAAGTATAACAATGAAAAGGAAAGAAAGAAGAAAATTAAACAAGAAAAAAAGACGAGAATCTGAAAAAAAATAACAAAAATAAATGTTTGAAAACAAATAAGAAGAAAATACAAAGAAAAACTAAAAAAAACGAAATTTTACGATGGCGGCAAAGAGAAAAGCAGACGACGATTATCATGGCGGGAAACCTTGACGTAATATTGTCAGTTGTCAAATAACTCTTTAATCCGTATTTTCGCGAATGCTTTTAAATCTTGTTTCTAATCTCTAATAATTCAAGAGCCACTTTGGGTTTTTTTTTCTTATTTATTTCTGTCGGTTATTTATTCATCTTAAATTATCTTCTGAAAGTTATTCTTGTTCACATAATATGGCTCGAAAGATTAACCTTTTATAATTAATACTTGTCAAATTGTTTTCTTTATTCCTTATGTCTTTTATTTTGTGCCAGTCAGACATTAACGAAGCATGGGTAGAGTAATGGTTATCGGCACTACAAACAAAATCTTCATGCTGAGTTCATTTCCAATTCGGTTCTGCTTTGTTTACTTAGCCTTTAGAAAAGGTATGGGTCTATTTTCTTCAATCTAAGAGTTAAATAACAGGAATAATGCATTCTTGTTGTTTTAGTCGTAAGAGGGATGGGCTCCGTCAGGCTATCTCGGCCTGGAAAGACCACTATCCTTATGATTGCAATGCGTATAGTGTCCTTGTGACTCTAATGGTTTATAGAATTCCTGGTTTAATAAGCGCACAAATCCTAGACTGATCGTCACCTCAAAGTAAAAGACCCCAATCATCGTTGTTTTTTAAGACATAGTTGGTGATAAAAGGGATGGATTTGTACATTAACCACGTGTATGTGTGCGAAAAATGAACATTGTTTGAAGTCTAATCCAAACAGTAATATTTTATTTATTAATAGGCTAAGGATTGTCAGCCATTATTATTCAATTTTGACTAGTATTTATTTTCATTTTTATGAGATAAACCATTGTCAGCTATTAATTATTATTAATTTTTGATTACTATTTACTTTCATCGTCATTTTTTACTATGTGAAACACCATCAGCCACTATTATTCGTTTTTGACTAGTATTTGCATCCATCTTCAACTCAGTTGAAATATTTTCAGCGATCATAATTAATATTTGACTCGTATCTATTAGGTCATTCCATAAGTTCTGTCCGAATTTTGAATAAAGAAAACAAGTGACCAAATGTTACATTTAATTACAGATTCAATCAACAATGTATTTTCCCTGATTATCTATGACTTCCTTCCATCTATTAACACGCTTACTAATTCCATTACTGTAAAATTCTTTTGGCTTTGATTCGAAGAACTCACAAATATCAGTTTTAACCTCTTCCTGTGTTACAAAATCTGTTTCTTCTAAATGATTCTGTAAGCTACGAAACAAATTGTAGTCTGAAGGAGCAAGATCGAGAGAATAAGGTGGATGAGGAATTTTCTCCCAACCATGTTCTTCGATCTTTTGTGACGTGATTCTTGCTGTGTGGGGTCGCGCATTGTCCTGATGAAACATCACCTCTTTTCGATTCACTAAAGCAGGTCTTTTTTTCCTCAAAGCTTGGTTCAAACGCTCTAATTGCTGACAGTATATTTGAGCATTAATTGTTGCATTAGATGGTAAAAATTCAAAGTGGATTATTCCTTGGCGATCCCACCAGATTGAAAGAAACTTTTGCCCATGAGATTCCCTTCTCGGCTGTGGCTGGAGCCCTTCCCCTTTACCAAGCCACTGTCTAAAACGCTTAACATTTCGATAAAAGATCCATTTTTCGTCGCCAGTCACAGGTCTATCCAAAAAAGGTGAAATAAGTTGGCGAGAATGGAGAGAAAAGCAGATGTCAACTCGGGATTTGAGGTTGTTTTCAGACAATTCATGAGGCACCCATTTTCCAAGTTTTGGAACTTTTCCAAGTTGTTGAAGATGACGATGAACAGTTGTATGGTTTGAACTGAGAACCACTGCCAATTCCTAAACTGATAAAGCAGGATTTTTTTCAAGGGCTGCTTCAAGAAGCTTTTCATCAAACTCAACTGGACGTCCGGTTAGATCTTCATCTTCAAGGGTGGAATCTCCACCTCTGAATTTTGCAATTTCTTTCATTCACACATTCCTCTCCATAAACTGAGTGAATGTTTCTATCCGCTTCGGCTGCTGAGTTTCCTTTCTTGAACTCAGAAAGCATTATGTGCCTCAAATGATTCTTGGGTACTTCCATGTTTGCAGGGTTTTAATCAAACAAAATGTAATTTTATTGTTTTCTGAAATAAAATTTGGTCAGTTTAAATGCATCTAAACATAAAAATAATGTTCAGTTCCATTAGACATTATAAAATACTCTTTAAATTTCGTTAATTTAAAAAAAAAAAGTTAAAATTCGGACAGAACTTACGGGATGACCTGATACTTCCATCTATGGGCGCATGGCCGACAGTGGGGTGGGGATTAGACCGTTTGCTTTCGGAGACCAAGGTACTAATAATAATATGGTCGATTTTTTAGTCGAGTTGACTTCTTGATTTTTTTTCTCTTAAATGCCTGAAAACCAAACAACAGGTTGCTACAATCGTTGTTGGCACGAAATCACAAGTCATCGTAAAGCACTGGCTCTTTTCAAGGAATTGATCACGGTTAATTCTTACACTCTCTCCTCAAGAAACAGGAACTAAGATCTGCTCACTATTGATTCAGTTTAACTATAAACCACAAGTTTTCTCTGTGGATTAAACATCTGTCAGACCGGCGTGGTCAGATACGAGTAGTAGCCGGTCAACTACTTTCATTTTTAATTTTTACTTGCTTTTTTATAGTAAATTTAAACAGCTCAGTTTACAGAAGCGTTTAGTTCGATTGCAAAACATTCAAGTTCTCTTATCAAATAATTAACGCAGCTGTATGTCTATTAGAGTTCCTTGAGACAAAAGAGTCGTGAGTTCAAATTTCACCAATACCACTTACTTTATTTCCTATACACGGTGTCTCTGCACTGTGCTAGAATTAATGTCTGACATTAAGAGAAACGAAATGATGAAAGTAAATAAATTCTAGTAAAATAACAACAATAATAAAATAATATTTCGCCTCAGAACTTGAGATGTCTGCTACACTTAATTGATTAAAAAAAAACGAATAACGTATGCAATTTTGTTTGATATAAACTTGCTAACAATCGATCTCAGGAGTCTTATGCACTTAACCTTTTCAGTGGTCAGTCAGGCAAGAAAAACGGATGAACTTTTTCATTTTTGTAAACATCAATTTGTTAAACGCAACGATAACGAGGTGATGATATTAATCGCTTACTGCTTACATACATAATGGCTGACTAATAATTTTCGAATACAGTCTGCTAGTGTGGTAAGATAATTCACTCAAATACATTAATTTAAGTCTGCCATTAGATTGGTACCCAATTCCCATCTCATTCCTGTTGAACTGGCAGATGCAACCACAACTTTTATTCTAATAGGTTCTTTTCTCGCAATTCTAACCTGTGGAACTGTCTCCCTATTCTTTATTTCCCTATCTCATACAATCTGCAAAAATTTAAATGAAACGTAAATCGTTATCTTCTGTCTTCCCGAAACCTGATTTTTTTTATTCCTTTCCTCATTTCTCCTCACTAAAGTCTTCTCATTCTTTTTACACACCCTGTAACCTCTTGCGTCTTAGTGGCATTATCACCTTGCTTGGAGTGAAACGGTTAAAAAAATATCATTTTCAGAAAAATCTCTGAGATTCTATATAAGAAAAAGACGGCATCCAGAGCACTGGCAACGTGATGTATTGCCGTAAGTAATTGAAATTTTGTAACATCTTTAGTGTGGGGATGCACCCCAGTTTGCATTATGACGATAACATTTGGAGAAATCAAATTAGATCAGCTGTGAGTGATGAATTTCCGCAGGGAGAACATCGAAATGTTTCAGAGTCGAATTCCCATACACAAAAACGTTGGTGAATGTCACTTAAAATAAAGCTATATATTTTCAATAGCATTTATACGAATTATTATTTTATTCTATTTGAATTTTTTTAAGTTATTTCCTTGAAAAAAAAAATTTCTGACTCAGCAGTGTGGCAAATACATTGTTTCTTAGTTTTCGTAGCTAAATTTCTTTTTCTTTAAAAAAAGAGTTTGATTTTTTTCCTCCTACGTCTTTCAAACTGAAGATGACATTTACTAACAAGCATGTAGCAAATAAAAATAAATAGGGATTTGATATTTTCTTTCAAAACATTAATGGATAAATTACAGTTGAAGCTTGACTCTGAAAAAAACAGAAGTGTGAAACGAATTTTTAACATCAAGTATAAATGATCTGATTGTAGCGTTGTGGATGTCATACGGAGAAGAAAAACACACACATGGCTTTGAGAATGACATGACTATATCTCTTCTTTCGCCAGCTTTAGATTAAATAGCAGAACAGACAGGCCTCACGAGATTTAGCTAATAGCTAGTCTAAATTCAAATACTATGGAGAATGTAACAGAAAACCACTATATATTTCTTAAGAAAACATAGCAATTCACAGATAATATAGAAAAATATATGGGAAAAATGAATATGGAATTAAACATGCTTATTAATTAAACATGCTTATTAATTAAACATGTTTATAAATAAATGCTATGTCTATTCTAATATATTTAAAAACTCATGAAGAGCGAGGTTGGTGTTTAAATCTGTTACATGATTAAATTAAAAGTGTACTTTTGAATTTATATACACGCGAAACTGATGGTGAGGTGGAAGTTTACGAAACGGGTTAGTTTAAAACTGAAATATCAAATAAGTCAATTCATTATATTTTAGTATTAACAAAAATCAGTGGCGAAAGCCATTATTGCAGAATTGTAAATCCCATTATTAGTAATAAACATTATTATCTCATTTCTAGTTTATGGAACTCTCTTTGGTCTTCTTGCTTCCCAATCAACTTTGATCTTCAAAAATTTAAATTCAATGTCGTTCGTTAACTATTTTCTTAATTTCTGTTCTTTTACAGTTTTCTCTACTTAATGGTATTTTGTTCTGATATTTCAAATAACCTCTTGTGTCTCATTCCGTTGCTTGAGTTGAAATGATTTTAAAAATATATTAAAAGTTTTTAAAATAAGAAAACGTGGATTATTCAT